TTATAAAAATTTAAGAGTGCCGGTTATATCTTCCTGATCCAATGATCGTATTTAAACCAAATTAGTATGGAACCTTTCCTTTAAAAAAATAATTATGGGAATCGGTTGACGTGACCCAGAATTATGCGGTAGCATACATACTATAAAAAGAAATAAGTATTCCGCCGAGTTGATAGCCTTCACCTTTTTCAAGCGTCAAGAATCTGGCGTTCGACATTTGGTTAGTTATTAATTTGCACGGTGGACCAACATGGAAGTGAACAATTATTCAATTTCATTACAATTATAATTCAAACTTAAAACGGGATGAATATAGAGAACTAGCTGATTTTCACTTAACGTTAAATGAACGATGCGTTTATTCCTACTTTTTTTAACAGATGTGAGAAATAAAAACCAGATTTGAAAACAAAAGCGAGTCAGCACTCTTTTGAATTTTAAAGCATATGAGGCATTTCATGTTACCGCGGCTACCTCTGTGCGCGACCTCTAAGGATTTGGATGAATGTTGAAGACATTGAAGGTGGCATGCAAATTTCATAAAATTTTAATGTCTCTTTACCATAGTGCTCGAGCATTAGACGATCTAGAGTCCACACGCCTAAGTAGCCCATTACACCCATTTGGGTACTTAAAGTTGACATTATAGACAATGGTTTTATGTAAAAATAAGAACGCAGCACGTATGTATATTCATGTTACCTAGACCTTCAATCTCTTCAACATTCATCCAAATCCTTAGAGGTCGGCGCACAGAGGCGGCCGCGGTAACATAAAATGTCTCATATTGAAAAATTTGGTTTATGCATCCGTTTTGAATCACACACGGTTAAAAATCGTTTTATGCTAGAACCCAGTACTAGCCAAGTTTCAGGCCCCGGCGAAGTCGATCAGCCTCAGCCCGCCGTTCCTATGTGGAGTCTGAATTTTCCGACACTGTTGCCAAAGATCCCTTTGTTGTCCAACTTGGCATTTAAATCGCCAAGCACGATTTTTATAGGTATCGGGGGCAGCGCTAAAATGTACGCTCTAAGCTAAGAGATCCTTGGATGCCTCGTCCTTCTCTTCCATCGGGGCATTGGCACATATGAGCGAGATGTTGAAGAATCTCGCTTTGATGCGGATTGTGGCTAGACGTTCGTCCACTACAGTGAACGCGGGTCTCTCCCCCCACAAATCCAACACCGGCTTGCGCTCCTTTGCGTGGCAACTGTAGTAGACGTCGCCAGACTTCACACTTACCTTCCTCGCCCCGTCCATCGCATTTCATGGATGGCGGTGACGTCAGCCTTTATTTCCCTAGGACATCAACCAGCCGGGCAGAGACACCTTCCCGATTAAGCGTTCGGGTATTCCAGGTGCATACCCTCAAATCATAGTAGTGATCGTCACAAATAGGGGGTATCATCCGAGGCATGTGTTATATTTTTCATTGCACAGGGTTTTAACGTGGCGGGACCCAAACCCAGCGCACGCGGAGTGTTACGCCCTCCCACTTTAGCTCGCTCCTATACTAGTGTTCGGTCACTACCCTGAGGATTCATGAATATAAATATTCGGACGTAGTGAACTGCACACACAAATCACTTCTGGCCACTCCCAGGTGAATGGCAGTCAAAAGCTTTGCAGTACTGGGAATTATACAAAACGTAGTGGTCAAAGGCGAATATCTTAAATAAACCCTGATGTATTTTTTAAATTCATAGCTCTCCATACCTGTATAATAAGCCAAATAGCCGGACCAGACGTTATTCAAAAAAAAATATAAAACATATACTTTTCCGTACACTCGGTAATATTCCTCCGCAATTTTCTAAGGTAAACTAACAATTTATAATCGTTGCTTTGCCGTATTGAACATTTTGAGTACGCAGATTTTTTATGCTGGTTTATTCGTTTATGCTAAATGTATTAATTTTTTTTTTTGTTTTGTTACATCGTGTTATAAAAAAAAAAATAAAGCATTAAGGGCCGTTAACTTATCTTTTTTAAGTATAGTTAAATCATTAGTTAACTTAACTACAGAAAATTCTGTGTAATTTTTCTGTAGTAAAGTTTAACTATATATAGTCAGGGACCGAAAATAATAGTTATTCTCAAAATTTTAATTCAAAAAGTCAGTCGGAAAGAATTGGTGTTTTTAACATTTGTATATAGCAATGTGATGCTTGATAGCCAAGGAATGTTAATCGTATATGATTTATTTTTTTCTTTACTTTTTTCAAAAAAGTCAGCAATTACCGTTATTTTTTACTGATAGTTTTTCAGTCAAAAGTAAAAGATAAATGTTGCTTTTATTTTTTCAGTCAAATATAAAAGTTAGAATTTGACTTTTATTTTTTCGGTCAATTATATAAGTTACAACTTGACTTTTATTTTTTCGATCAATTATAAAAGTTAAATCTGACTTTTCTTGTTTCGGTCAACATAGCTGTTTACATATTCACAATACAATAGTGGTATACACCAACTTGAGCAAGTGGCCTGGCACTCTAGCAAAAGAGCAGATGAGCTCAAGCAACAACTATTGACAACTGGCATTGCTTGAGCTAATCTGCTCTTTTGCCAGACTGCCAGGCCACTTGCTCACTTTGGTGAATACCACTAATATGTTTTAATAAAAAATGCATATCCTTTCAATTGCAGTTTTCTNGTTACGACCTCCCACTTTAGCTCGCTCCCATACTAGCGTTCGGTCACTACCCAGAGGATTCATGAATATAAATATTCGGACGTAGTGAGCTGCACACACAAATCACTTCTGGCCACTCCCAGGTGAATGGCAGTCAAAAGATTTGCAGTACTGGGAAATATACAAAACGTAGTGGTCAAAGGCGAATATCTCAAATAAACCCTGATGTATTTTTTAAATTCATAGCTCTTCATACCTGTATAATAAGCCAAATAGCCGGACCAGACGTTATTCAAAAAAAAAAGTAAAAACATAAACTTTTCCGTACACTCGGTAATATTCCTCCGCAATTTTGTAAGGTAAACTAACAATTTATAATCGTTGCTTTGCCGTATTGAACATTTTGAGTACGCAGATTTTTTATGCTAGTTTATTCGTTTATGCTAAATGTATTAATTTTTTTTTTTTGTTTTGTTACACCGTGTTATAAAAAAAAAATAAATCATTGAGGGCCGTTAACTTATCTTTTTTAAGTATAGTTAAATCATTAGTTAAACTTAACTACAGAAAATTCTGTGTAATTTTTCTGTAGTAAAGTTAAACTATATATAGTCAGGGACCGAAAATAATAGTTATTCTCAAAATTTTAATTCAAAAAGTCAGTCGGAAAGAATTGGTGTTTTTAACATTTGTATATAGCAATGTGATGCTTGTTAGCCAAGGAATGTTAATCGTATATGATTTATTTTTTTCTTTACTTTTTTCAAAAAAGTCAGCAATTACCGTTATTTTTTACTGATAGTTTTTCAGTCAAAAGTAAAAGATAAAAGTTGCTTTTATTTTTTCAGTCAAATATAAAAGTTAGAATTTGACTTTTATTTTTTCGGACAATTATATAAGTTACAACTTGACTTTTATTTTTTCGATCAATTATAAAAGTAAAATCTGACTTTTCTTGTTTCGGTCAACATAGCTGTTTACATATTCACAATACTATAGTGGTATACACCAACTTGAGCAAGTGGCCTGGCACTCTAGCAAAAGAGCAGATGAGCTCAAGCAACAACTATTGACAACTGGCATTGCTTGAGCTAATCTGCTCTTTTGCCAGACTGCCAGGCCACTTGCTCACTTTGGTGAATACCACTAATATGTTTTAATAAAAAATGCATATCCTTTCAATTGCAGTTTTCTATCTTCTGTAAATATGAATAATAATAAATATATTGAATTTATTTAATTTAAGTTTTAAATTATTCACCTCTTTACAGGAATGATTCG